GAGGCTGTGGTGGCCGGGAGCAGCCACTGCACTCCAGTCTGGGCAAAAGAGTGAGATTCCAACTCAAAAAAATATATACATACACACATATATATATATTTCTTGAGTTTAGATGGTCCCAGAAAGATTTATTTTCATGGATTTATATGCTCTGAGAAACTACAGTTTAAACATAGGTTGGCTGAAAGATGCTTAATTACTCACTATGGTCATTGAAGCAACAATGTTAGCCCTCTTGTTAAAATGACAGTGTTTTACCAAAACTAACCTACAAAGTTTTATTAAAACTATCTTTTGTGATAATCTCTTTTAAGAATGCATTATTTTTAATTAGATCTTAAGTTTGAAAGCAAGAAGAGTCAATGAAAAATAAATTTTAATCATATCCCAACTACTGCTAGATCTTTACACAATTCAATTATTTCTATCCAGTGTGGTGTAAGAAACATTTGGCAACTGATTAAAACAATTCTTAAAGCAAATTACAGAACTGTCAGAAGACAAGAAATCAGAATGTCAAAATACAAGAACTTTTTATGCAAAATGTCTTGCAAGTGTTTTTGATAGACGATTTCTGTCTGCTTGTTATATTAGTTTCATTGATCTGGTCCACATCAAGTAAAAAGAAATACTTCCATGCATTTGTTATTTGAAATAAAAGTCCTCAAATGAATAATATTCCCAAAGATAACCAAAGTCATCATGTGAGGAAATTTTATGCTTTAGTTTTATCCAAGCTTACTCAGCATTGCAAAAATCTATGATGAGGTTTATAACTGTAGAATCCCAAAATAACTGCATTTTTTTTTTTTTGGCAGTAAAGCCACATCTATAAAATTTGAGCTACTACTAATATACAAATGCCATTAGATATAGATTTTATGTATTTTCTCTGGGCAGAGCAAAATGTAGCAATATGTGTTTTGTAATACTTTGATATACATTTTAAAAAGCAAATTTATGAGCTATATAGGTCTGAGCCATCTGTCTTAAAATATATTGTCATTACTTCAATTTACATTATTCGTGCTTTGCTTATAGAAGATTACAAATTTTTCTTCTCTTTTAAAGCTTAAGAGAAATTCAAAGATACACATTATAGAAAAGTGAAACTCTAGTTTAATAATGAGATAATCCACAAGAAATCTACTTTCTTAAGAATATATTTCCTGTCCCATTTCAAGCACTAGAGTCTTACTTATACCAAGTCTCATTACAACAGCTGACTCTGTGCCTTACTTATATATGATTGCTTGTTTCAGTAAAGTAGAACCTTGATTCTAGAACTTATGCAGCACATTTGTTGAAGTATATTGTAATAAAGAGATATGAGAGCAGTTGAGACCCTTTGAATTGCTTGGCAAGTAAGTATATATATTCAATGTTCACAAATTTTATGGAATTGAGTCTTAACTGAAATAGAGAAATAATTTGAATCATGGAGTTTACAATTACACCCACTATAGAGGCAAATATAATGTTGTGTAAGTCAGGTATCTTTTAAGTAATAAAATTCCAACTGAAACTGTTTCAAAAAAAAGAAAGAAAGAAAATCGCTTATATGGTAGATTCTTTCCACAAAATATTATAAAACCCTAAGAAATTATCTTTAGACAGTAATAGGAAATAGTGCTGACAAATGGAAAAAAGATGGATTCAAAATTACTGTTATATACTGCCATTACAACTATATAAAACATGTGGGAAAAACAAACAACAATTTACTAAACACTTAACAGGCGTGGTTGTCTCATGAGCAAGATTTTTAGGTGACTTTCTCATTTCCCAAAAAAGCTTTATAGCACTTTTATGATAAGAACTATAAAAAGATAACATATAAAAGATGTTTTTTTTTTTTTTTTTTTTTGAGTTGGAGTCTCACTCCGTTACCCAGCCACCGCAGCCTCGACCTGCTGGGCTCCAGCAATCCTTCCGCCTCAGCCTTCCAAGTAGCTGGAACTGCAGGCGAGCACTACCACGCCCGGCTAATTTTTTGATTTATTGTAGGGATGAGGTCTCGCCTGCCCAGGCGGGTCTCGAACCCACGGGCTCAGGCAATCCACTCACCTCAGCCTCCCAAAGCACAGGATTACAGGCTGAGCCACCAAGCCCGGCTAAAGATGTTATTTCTAAAATAAGTTCAAACATAAGAAACGTGATAAATTCAAATTAACATTTTGGGTGTTTTAATATAAGTTCCACATACAGATCAAATCTAATTGAGACAAAAGACTGCATATTTTTTTTTTATAAAATAAGAACAGAAAGTGTCAGAATTGACCGACATATACTCAAACTGAAAACTCTGAAAAAAAATCAACTTTCGAAAACACTAATCAAGTAAATAGCACTTATGCAAAAACAACCCCTTAAACTATACATATCTTTTAAAGTACATATTATTAATCTTTTTAAAGACATTTCCAAGTCAGAAAAGAAACCCCAAAACTTAACCCAGAGCACTTCCTTCTAAATTACAAGGTAATTTCCCAAACTCCACTAAGAAAAAGATCTCATTATTCTTACAAACTGATGGTACCATCTGAATCAGCCTAATATATTTATCTTGGGAGCTCCTTGCACAAAACCAATTTTCAGATTTCAAAATATCACCCAGATCCAAATTATTTTCAATTTTCCATTCAAGTGTCTGTCAGAAACATTCAATCATGTTTGTCCAAGTCAGTTTTCACCTGTAGTAAGTCCAAGTCATTGAAATTTAAAGTCATTAAAATTATTACATCTATTTTGGCTTTCAATTATCAAATTATCTCAGACTATTTTATTCTATTTGAGGCTTAGCATACCTCTTTCTCATTCCTCAAAAAATAGTTAATAACAGCCGGGCTCGGTGGCTCAGCCCGTAAGCCCGTGCCTTTGGTAGGCTGAGGTGAGTGGATTGCCTGAGCCCGTGGTTCGAGACCCGCCTGGGCAGCAAGACCTCATCTCTACA